ATATTAATATTAAATTAACAACAATTTATATGTGTTAATTAAATATAGTAGGTAGTTAATTGTCATACCAATCAATTTAAAAGGTACTGTGATACTGTAATATATTAGTACCAATACAATAAACATTGATTTTTCTTGTGAGGTAAGATATGTAAGTAGTAATAAGTCTAAAACCTATACTATTGATAATATTATTATGCTTGTACTTATCTCGATAATATACTATATAGGTACAACATTATTATATCCCTATTATGTATAATATTAGTATGCTCATTATTTTATAGTTATATCAAAAGCAGTGTAATATTAATCATCTACGCATGAACACTTTTATGCTTAATGCAGTAATATTTTAATATTATGTAGGTGTGAAAAATGTTTCATTTATGATATTTTTTTTAGTGTCGGATTAATTTAATATAGGTACAACATACAAAGAAATTATGCTTATCGTAGTTTAGTACTTCGTGGACACATTTTTAACGACTTCTAATAAACATTAAAACATTTTAAGTAACCTTCTAAATACGGATAGTATCGGTTTTGGGAATTCAATAAAATTATATCAGCGTTAATCACAAATATTTAATTTAAATACTCCATTGTTTATTATGTGTATGCATTAAGAAATAATTAAACAAATAAGATTTTAGTTATTTTATTATGGACTTATAACACGTTTATAAAAATAAAAGAGCTTTCTCTATAATATCTTATACACTTGTTCTTATCATAGACAACTTTCACAGTTATATGTTACTTAATTTAAAATATAGCCAACAAAGTAAGATATAGCTTTCAAGGACGTCTGTTTATAAAAATATTCACTGAAAATTTTTAATTTAAAAATTTAAATATTGGGGATAATGCATTATTATTTACCTATTATAGAAACTGCAATTTGTTTATATTTCCATTATTTATGTGTTTATTATTTCATTATATATGAAAGCCCGTTGGTGTATTCATATATTCAATTAAACACTCGTTTGATTAAAATAATGAAGTAAGTTATTTTTGATTATGAAATCATACATTTAAGCTATATTTTATCACAAAAATAAATTTAGTGTTTTGGTTTTTTATAMATTTTAAATTTATAATACACATAAACGTCAAAAACTATTATATCCATATAGACTCTTATTATTATTTAGATGTATTAAACATAATAACACATATTACCTACAATATCATTGTTTTACACATCACAATTTTAATAGTTTATTTGTCAAAGTTGTATGTATTTGTATTATTGTTGAAATAAATTGCATGGGAACAATATCATATCCGAACTTTTTTATGTGAAAATGTAAATTAATGTTATTGAAATCACTTGGATTAAAAAAAGCTTTAAGTAATTATCCTGATCGAGCGTTAAAATATTTTAAGATTAAATAATCTTAGAATAATTATACAGTCCAGTCAACAAAGCTTTCTTCGTAATTTAAATTGATGTATAAACGAAATCATATAGCAATGATTAACCTTAAGTATATTGCTTGTGCGTTAAACTGTAAATGAATCCATCACAGCTATAAATTATTATTAGCATAGCTTTTAAATAGCTCACCATACATTTGTTGCGTAGCAGAGTAGAACTTTCAAAAGCAAACATTTATTGTCAGCATCACATGAATACACGAGTCGTATGTTTAACAATGTATACTACTAATGTGTACTAATATCTACGAATATTTATTTATAGTCTATGAGTACCAATTTCAATGGAGATATTCAATATAAAAGTTTAATACTTTAAGTATTGCTCATAGTGTTTTAATCGATCGAATTTAATTTATTTTAAATTTTTATTTGATATTATATGCTTGTATTTTACAAAAAAAAAAAAAAACAGTCTATATAGTTGTATAGTTACACAATAAGGGAATTTTACAATTTTTGTATATTATTATATTTTTACTATTATTTTTCTATTTTATTGTTATGCTTAAACAGATAAATAGGTTTTTTTGAATTATAATTTTGATAGCTTTATTCAATGCTATAATGGTATATTAAAATTTGAGTTTTGCTTAATTTTATAAAAAACTATTTTATGCTATTACAACAGTAATTAAGATATGAAAATATTTAAAAAAAATTGTAGTTACTCAAATTGAAATATAGTTCTTAACAATTATTGTAGGTAAGTCGAAATTCTGAGTAAATCTCTAATTAATCGAAAATAGTAGAACTTAAATGAATGCGTTTATATTTCTAAATGTACGAAATTATACCACAGCTATTACTAAAATATACGGAAAATCGAAAAAATAGTCATTTTTGTCATTGTGTCAAATGTATAATTTATAGCAGTTTTAGTTGATTACTCATTCTAACCAAACATGCTAATATGTCCCTAATAATAATAATAATAATAATAAAAAAAAACTATTATAAAACCAATACATTCCACACTTTGATCAAGATTTAAAAATAAATTTCACTTTGAAAGTCCAAATTAATTACGTACATAATATCGCCTTGGTGTATAAACTATAATAAACTAACTACGGCGGTTATTAAATTATATAATGGTCCTGCCGATGTCGAAACCGACTAATGCTTTGTTACAATAGAGATACAGTTAATAGTTAATTCTTGTCTTATTGGCCAATTTAACAATGAACAGAAAACCATACAAGATTACTCGTATGCTAAGTTATTTTCGAACCTTGAGGTATGAATACTACCCATATAACTATGTACAAACGTCAATCGCACACAYATACAATGTCACAATTTCTTCTGTGGTTACAGGATCGCTGTGGTGCGTATATCGATTTCACAACAGTGTTTCCRTACGTGTACCGATCGTTTATTTGTTATCTCGATTGATGTTTTTTTTCGTATGTACCATCAACTTCATTTGTTAATACTATGAATTTTGTTTTTACGATAAAGCAAGGTCGGAGTATACAACAATACTCACGTGACGAGATCGAATATCTWATAGGCACTATATACAAGTATTTATGTAATAATATTGAATGGCAACAAGTTGTTCACAGTGTGTTCTATACAAAGTGTTGATTTAATCATTCATTATTCATATATCCATACAGATGACAGATAGGTACCTACCTATAATCATTCCTCAATATACGTGTTGGTGTATTATGTACACCGATTTATACGATAGGTGCGATGTTTACAAGACAGTTGCTTCAMATTTCTGTTATTCAGTAATTGTACCTATTAAACGTTTTCTATTTTTGGAATACATATATTAAAACTAACTGGTTTTAAGATTTAATATACAGTAGATTTTTAAAAAGGTCTTGCCGGATCAGATTTTGTAATAATAATGGCCAGTACTCGATACTATCTATATTAGATCCTACCACAAATCTACTATTTTTAAACCAACTTAGGAATTTTTAAAAGTCTATATTTAATTAAAAACATTTTGTTGATATTGTGTGTCATTAGTTTAGTTTTTTTGGGCGGTGGTAAACTCTCCTGATTGTATGGTAAAGTCTCCCAATTTTTAAAACTAGTAAACTCTACCGATGGTAAACTCTCCCGGGTAAATATCATGTTTACCTGAAAGAAATGTGTAAACTCTCCCGGGTCAATATTATGTTTACCTGAAAGAAATGTGCAAACTCTCCCGAGTTATTTTAAATGTTATTGCTACTCTATGAATTGACTACACTGCAGAGATTGTGATTATAATTTTTGTTATGAATTGTATTACCGTATTTAATCTGTATTTATCTTGTGTTAACCTGTATTTGTCATTTAAATATTTAATTATCGTTAGAATATTTTAAATTTAAATATTTAAAACGATATCGACTATAATGGCTCAACCAATTCTAACTGTGTAAAACGAATAATACCCCATGCTCCTCAGCTAGCTTAGTAGTACTGAACTAGACCCGGGAGAGTTTACATGTTCCCGTCAGGTAGTATTGGACTAAACACGGGAGAGTTTACCATCGGGAGAGTTTACATGCCATTAAAATCGGGAGAGTTTACAATCGCCCGTTTTTTTAATATCATCACGAGATTCTGAATGGAGTAATTGATAAGGTAACTATAACTAAGGACACAATAATAATAATATAGTCATGACACTGGCGGTTGGGTACCTAAGTAAAAACATCTAAAGGTTTTATACAGAAATTATATTAATTTAATGATAGACCATGGTAAGAATTTACCTAAAAAAGGCCATTTTTTAAATTTAACGGAGTAAATTGTTTTACGAACTCAATAGTTTATTATTGATGCACCTAATCCACAGTTACAGTCAATGTTGAACGTTGCATTAGCCACATTCTGTATTAGTATTAATGAACGAGAACCGTTAAAAATATAATGTATTCTTAAACGAGTTGTATTTTAGTATATAGCCTATAAATATTTCCGAAGGGCCACATTAGGTAGGAATATTAAAATTTTCCCGGAACTTCAAAATTACAGACGTCGGMAAAAACCAATGAACAAAAATGATTAGTGTTTTAATTACTACAGTACCTATCAGAACGTATAATATAAATGGTTTTTATTTTCTTCTCTTGTCAGCGGGCCGGATAAAATTTGTTCAGAGGTTGAAAAATAGTATATAGTATTTAGATTTAGACAATTTAAAATCTCTACCAAATACCTACACACTAAGTGCCTTATAAATTATATTATCTTTATATGACAACAAAATATAATACCATGATTTATTTTGATGACAGAACTTATTAGTTATTAGAATAACTTTCTAGTTATACAATATATTACAGTATAAAATATAATTTTAAAATAATATTCGTGGTATGTGAAAGATTGTTGAGTATAAAAAAACCTATATATAGTTAGTTACTGATAAATATGTTTACCTTGATGAATTTTCAATATATACCTTTTGTCATTTTATACAAAATAGAGGACAACAACAAAAATAAAAATATTAAATAAAATTAGTATATTTAATTCAAAAAATTATTTTTTATATTGTAGTGTGAAATTGCAATCAATATTATTTTTATGTGCAGATATTTAGACTACAATCGCCATGTCGGAATACAATGGCGAAGCCAAGTACCGACCAAAACGGTATCAGTCTATTGGCAAGTTGTTCAAAAAACGTGTACCGATCGTTTCTTGGCTACCCAAGTACGATGCAGATCAAGCTGTGAGTGACTTAGTCGCCGGGGTCACTGTTGGACTAACAGTTATGCCTCAAGGGCTGGCGTATGCTACGCTAGCTGGTTTAGAACCGCAGGTGAGACAAACTCAAACTGGTGACAGATTAATTAAAAATATATAAAAGGAAATTTTGTTTTAAAATATAGAATTACAGTAATATAAATGAAAATATTGAAGTTTACTATTTATATGACAATAGTAATTACCTATTATATGTGTAAGAGCATAATTATGAAATATAATAATTAAAATAAACGCGTTTTTTGTAGAATGTGCATGTGAACTGTCCACATTTCGTGAAATTCGTTTGATTTTTTAGTTAGCTAATTTGTTTATTGTGCTTAGGAAGTAGGCGAGGCATGACGACATCGAACTGTTATAACTTTTTAAGCAGTTTCCTGAACAAATTAGCATGGTGAGGTATTTTATGACAGAGTTTAGAAGGTTTGAGAGTGAATGCTACATAAAACAAATATCTTAAATTTTGTTATATTTGATGCAGTGGGAAATGTCTATGTTATAATTTCAGTGTGATAATTTTCGCACGCTATTTGTAGTGCATAATCAGTCATTATTTAAATTTTATCAAAAATATGTACTTCGGTATAAATTTGTTTTGGCCACATTGAGAAAACGTACTCGTATATGATTAGCTCCTATGAAATTATAATTATATACTATCATAAAATACTTATGTTTATTTTTTTATACCTATCTATTATTATAATATTGAGTGTGTTACTTACAAAAGTACAAGTGACAATTATTCTTCAAATATTATTTTATTGAAAAATAAGCAATATGCCAATATCTATCAGAATGTTCACTTTGTGATCATGCTCAATTCCCAGTATCTAAACATGTTTCAATATACAACGAAAAAATTATATTTCCATACATAATTTATACATAGGTAATAAATAATATGGTCAATAAATAAATAATAACCAATAATTTATACAAGCAATCGTGACTATGTATTGACATTAAATAAAAAAAATCAACCAATATTTATCAATGTCTAAACATATGTTTAGAAACCTAAAACTATATACCTATATTTTGATTAAAAATKATTTATTTCATGATATTTTCAAGCGCATATTTGAATGTGTTAAAAGAATTATTATTATATATCCATACTTTAGCTCATGAAATGACAAGTAACTATTACATAATAATGTTTAATTAGTCATTAATTGGTAAAATAAATTACAAAACACGTTAAATATCTGTATGGTTATATAAAAATTTATATACATCCATTATTTGGATAAATATATATTAAACTTTTTTTAGTGTGATGAATTAAAAAAACTATCTATGTAAATATTATCAAATAGTCCATATCTTTTTTTAAAAATTACATTTTTAATTCATATTATTTAATACAATAAATTCTTAGCTAATATATTAATAATAATAATAAAAAAAATAATTAGTATACATTTTTTTCTATTTTATACACTAACTAGTAGCCGGAAGTATGAAAAAGTCTGATATGACCTAAGCATAATATTACAATCACCTCCACATGTTCTCAGTTCTGAAAAACGATACAGAAGCCAAAATAATTGATGTTTTTAAAAAACTAACTTGTAAAATATAATATAGGCAAAAAATCAATAATTATATATATAWAAAAAAAAAAATGTAATTAATATGTAATGTAATAATGTTAGGTTAGCTCAACCTATACCACGTAAAATGTTGACGATAATAATTCCGGATGTCATAGTATAAAAAAATGTATCATGTTCTGTGCACGAAATCTGTGTAGTTTTTTCTTACCTATTATGGTTTTTATTCATTTTACAGAATTAAATTAATAATTTTAAACATTTTCTATTTATTTTGATAAATCTAGTTATAGATATCCGTTATAATATGTATCCTAAAGGCTATGGGTAAACTTGAATCATAAATCTCTTATTGTGTACAAACGGCATTTGTAGTTATATTTTTTATATTTTAATTGCATTTATTTTATTTTAGAAAAAATCTATTAATTATAATTTGTTTGTGTATTGTTATTTATAATAATTTGAAGTCTTTCGAACTAATAGAGTATGATAATATATATTTTATCTGAATATAGAGTGAAGAAAATATAAGTTAGATAAATTCAGAAATTTCTTATTGGGTATGAAATTAATCGTAAAACTTGCTATAAATATGAATTAGAAACACGCTTTGTACTTTAGATGAGTAAAAAAGTAAGAAGGTGAATAAAGCTGCGCAATTGTTTTCTTAGAAAATTGTGAAAAATTGATTTTTTTGGTAATCAGCAGAATTTTGAATTATTTTTAAATGCAATAATCACTATCTACCCAGTCAAAATATGTAAAAAAAACTGCGAGATTGTATTATCTTTTAGCTAGGTACCAATGTTTTCATTCGATTTATATGTTACTACTTTTTGATTTTAATTTTTCGTATAGGTACATACATGTTGTTATAATGTTTTTCAATTAAATATTATTTAAAAATACAACCACATCCATGAAAATACATGTTTAAATTTTTGTGTCTGGGTAAAATTTACTTATATTAAAAAATAATCAAAATATATTGCGTATTATGCTTGATTTGTTTGTTGACTGAATTAGTTTGTATGGGTTAGGTATTACTTTATAAATTTAAAATGAAGCATAAGATTATAATAGTTTTACATCAATTATATAAATATTTATTTATATGCATCAACTGCATAGGTTTTAAAAAGTTTTTATTTTGGGTTTTCATGGAGCGAGGATTCATCACTAAAATCCCAGATAGGTGACTACCCATAAACTTGAGATGACAGTTGAAGCTTGGCCTCAGTACTAGTAATAGTGACTACGGCCAACCATCTTGCCATCCCGAGCCACACAACGTTTTGGATTATTATTTTTATTTTACATTTACATTTTTTGGTTAATAGACCAAAAGTTATAATAATGTTTATAATATAATTAATATGTGCGTGTATATATTTTTTTTTTTACAGTATGGTTTGTATTCTGCGTTTGCTGGATGCATTGTTTATACAGTATTTGGCAGTTGTAAGGACATCACTATTGGTCCAACAGCATTAATGTCACTTATGACTTACCAACAAGTGTTCAATAGAAACGCAGACTATGCAGTATTATTATGTTTTTTGTCTGGTATCTTACAGTTCATTATGGGATCACTTAAACTAGGTATGTTATAATTAAAAATGATTAGGAAATGTATGTTAATTTTTGTACTTTTTATAATTTCCATACGTTTAAATCAATCAGTAAAATCATAATCATAATAGGTACCTATTTGTTGTGGAAAACTCGATTGAATGTTAGTTTTTTCTCTTGGTAATATGAAGAAACATTCCACCTTCAGGATTTGCTGGTATAGTTTTTGGATTCATTTTTATCGGCAATTTCATACTATCGGATAGTGAAATGTTATAGGTTGATAATATTCTAAACAGTGCCACTTTTACTTGCATCAATCCAAATCGCATGCCTGAACAAGTTAATAAAATATTTTTAATGGTTATTGCTTATTAGTAATAATGTATTGATAATACTTTACCAATGCATAGTCTAGGACCAGCGCCGAATGGCAAATACGCGTATTGTGGTCTATGGCGTTTTTCTTCTTCCGTAAATCTTTCTGGAATGAACTTTTCTGGTTCTGGCCAATATTCAGGGTCGTTATGTATACCATATACTGGTATAACTACCTGGAGTCCTTTTTTAAGGGTGAAATCAGAGTTGGGTAACTTGTATGGTTTTACTGCCTTCCTGGTTAAATTAGGCACTGGTGGATACTTCCTCAAGGCTTCTATAATGTAAAGTTGTGGTGAACATTAATATTTAATAAATTTACTTTTTCTATACTAACCAGATACAATCATATCTAAATAAGGCATTTCTTGTAATATTTCATATGTTAATTTCCCATCGTATTTACAAAGCACTGAATCAATTTCATCTTGAGCTCTCATCTGTACGTCTAGGTTT